GAGAAGGAGACTCCACAACCCCCCTGGGCAGCCTGTGCCAGTGCTCTGTCACCCTCAAAGTAAAGAAGTTTTTCCTCATATTCAACTGAAATGTCTTATCTTCCAGTTTGTGCCCATTGCCCCTTGTCCTGTCACTGGGCACCACTGAGAAGAGTCTGACTCCGTCCTCATGACATCCATCCTTAAGATATTTGTAAACATTTATGAGGTCCCTTCTCAGTCTTTTCTTCAGGCTAAAGAAGCCCAGCTCCCTCATCCTTTCCTCATAGGGGAGATGTTCCAGTCCCTTAATCATCCTAGTTGCTTTCCTCTGGACTCTTTCTAGGAGTTCCACATCTTTCTTGAACCAGGGAGCCCAGAACTGGACACAGTCCTCCAGGTGGGGTCTCACCAGGGCAGAGCAGAGGGGGAGGAGAACCTCCCTTGCCCTGCTGGCCACGGTCCTCTTAATGCACCCCAGGATGACATTGGCCTTCTTGGCAACAAGGGCACACAAAACTTGGTTGTCTTTGGGTTTTAGGCCATGAGCTGGAGAGTGGAGCCCTTCCTGGCCCATGAAGTAAGTGGCTTATGCCCAAAGGTTGAGGTTCTGTACCCCTTATCGTGGCTTTCAGGTGGTATCGTAGCACTAGCCGTAACAAAGGGCAGATGAACATTAACGTGACTTTTCTATTAGACCTTGTTGTTCCTTTACAGGAATAAGAAACTGCTGAAATGGTCCGTAGGAGCACTCAAAGCAAAGGAGAAAAAATAAGAAATAAAAATAGTTCATTGAGGTTATTAGCAACTAATTCTGTTTGAAATGTGCTCCTCATCATGCCTATCATGAGTTATTTTTTCCTTTTTCCCTCTCTGAAAATTATTTGCATAATATATTTATTGGGGTTTTGTGTATGTAAGCATTGTTTGTTCTCCCAATTTCAAAGGAAAAGTTCAGCTTGTGTTTCCAAGTTACTTGCTGTGGCAGTTTCCAGCTGCCACACAACGGATGGTTCATCCTCTTGAATCGAAGCGTGTGTTCATTCTGCTTCCTGGGGAACCGGCTGCAGCCTTTAAAAGGGAATGAGAGGTAGACAAGTGCATTTTGGTGCAAATTTAATCTAAATAAAATAAAATTCATGAAACTTTCTTAAATAGATTAAATAATAATAAATTCTTAAAAAAAAAAGAGCACCTTTCCTACGAGGCCAGGCTGGGAGAGTTGGGGGTGTTCAGCCTGGAGAAGAGAAGGCTGCGGGCAGAGCTGAGTGCGGCCGGTCAGGGCTTCAAGGGGGCCCAGAGGAAAGGGGGGGACAAGCTTTTTAGTAGGGCCAGCTGGGACAGGACAAGGGGGGATGGCTTTAAACTGAAGCAGGGTAGGGTTAGACTGGATCTAAGGAAGAAATTCTTTCCAGTGAGGGTGGTGAAACCCTGGCAGGGGTTGCCCCGAGAGGGGGTGGAGGCCCCATCCCTGGGAACATTCCAGGCCAGGTTGGCCGGGGCTGTGAGCAACCTGCTGTGGTTCAAGGTGTCCCTGCTCCTGCAGGGGGGTTGAGCTGGGTGACCTCTGGGGGTCCCTTCCCACCCAAACCATTCTGTGATTCTATGATTCTATGAAAAACACATCAACCACTTGGATTCTTCAATACACATTTGCAACTAAATAGCCACACCCAGACGACTGCTTTTAGTGCCATACCTGCTCAGCACAGCAAATGTAACCATTTTTTAATTAGCTCATTAAAAGGGCTGGAAGAAGTTTCTCACACCATGTGTGAGGGGGTGTCCAGAAGTAGCTAGATTTTACGCTGCTTTTCCCCCACTGAAAACCACCCTAATTATTAATTAAATGTTAATTCTTTTCAAAGTCATGAAAGTGCTAATTCAGCACGGCATTTGCAAGCCCCAAAGAGTTGCTTTGTTCAAGGAGCTACTGACGGAACAAAACTGAGTCGGAATTAGCATTTTCACCGCTTGTAGAGATGTAAGGAGCCGAGGCACCGTGTTTTCTCGGCGTGCTTTGTGCCTCGTACATCTATTTCCATTTGACGTTGCTACACTTGCCGTACGCACTACGGTATCACCCGAAGTGTGGGATCCAGGGACATTTTCAGCTCGTAGCCTTTGCTGTTTGTAATAATATCGCAATTTGTTGGCCGTAAGCGTGTAAATATGTGAGGCCAGATGGACAAGTGCTGCAAATGGGTCCTTTACTCAAATGCTCCACACCCGGGGCACTGCGTAGGGATGGGGGGGCAGAGAGAGCGGAGGGGAGGGGGACAACAGGGCAGCTTGGAAAACTCAGTAGAAGCCAGCACAATGACAAGGAACGGTGGATTTAAATATTTGTCTTCCAGTGCTTGCATTCAACCTGAGTAATTGCTTGTAACATTTCTAACTGGTATTTTCATTGTGGAACTTTCCATTTGGAGATAGCATATATAAACACGCATACATACTTATGCACACATATACAGAGGGAGAGGGGTCTTGGGATTCTATAAGTAGCATTTTATATTCAGTACATCAAAATATATGTGTATTTGAAGGACTTAATGGCTGATTCTGAGGCACTCTTCCAAAAATAAGTATCATACCAACACTGCCTTAGAGCAATCACTTCACTAACGTAAATGCTGATAGTTTCTGGATAGTTTTATGCTCATTTAAAGAGTGACAAGAAAAAAATTGGATAAGTGAGTTGCAGTATTATTTTGCTGCTGTGGAATAGATTGATGAGGGAATGTTAGTAAAAGATGCTGGTCTTGCCAGGAAGATGATGGGGAATTGTGCTTTCCAGAGTGGCTCTGCCCCAGCATGGGTGTAGGGCACTGAAATGGCCTCAAAAAACTCCTCTGCCTTGGGGTTCCCATCTGAGACACTGAGACTACCTTATCTCTGCTTCGCTGTGGGTTAGAGAATTAATTAAATTTGTATTGCGGGCTTGGATAGTCTTGGATGCAGATAGAGTTCCTTGGGCTACACCGTGCCTCCCTAAGCGATAACGTGATCTCAGTTATGTGTGCAACCTTCAGCCTCAGGTTGCTCCTGCAAGTACGGGTTGGGTTTTCCTCATCTGACAAGACCCAGCCAAGGACGTGCAACCAAGGTGCTCGTGATGGGCTCTCCCACATCGTTATATCCCAGAAGAGCATCCTTTTCCCATTGACCATTGCGAAGGCCTGAAGATGTACTTTCGGCCCCTTTACCTTTTGGAGGCGGCAGCGATTTGCCCACCTGAACAAGGCGGTGCAGTCGGCCACCGCTGCTCTGCCGTTCGGTGGGGTAAGGCAGCCGTGGGGCCGGAGGGAGCCCTCCAGGCTGCCACGGGGAAGGAGCAGGGTGTGTAAACCAGGGCAGGCTGTAGCCTCTGCCCTGTGCTCACCCCTTCGCATTTAACCAGCTGGCACAAAGCTATTTTGCATGGCTGTGTTTGTTTTCAGATAGATCAGAGATGACACTGCTGGTTGTTTTTGTGATGTTAGGTTGGTATCTCTATTTTCTCTTCTCTCAGTACTCTGATAGCATGGGGGTGAGGAAGGGCTTGCAAATACCTCCAGAGACAGGTAACAAACACTGAAGGTTCCTGAGTTATTTTTGTTACTCTTCAGTTGTCAGCAGCTCAGCCTAATTTCGCTGCTGTGACTTCCTATTTTTTTCATTTTGGAAATGCCAAGTACTGTAGCCATGTGTATTCTGTGATGATATTTGATTAAGATCTGATCCTGCAAGAAATTAACCATGTGCATTGGAAGCTTCGGTGACTTCCTGAGCATCATAGAATCACAGAATGGTTTGGGTGGGAAGGGACCTTTAAAGGCCACCCAGGCCAACCCCTGTGATGAGCAGGGACATCGTCAACTGGACCAGGTTGCTCATTGCCTCATCCAATGTGACCTTGAATGTTCCCAGGGATGGGGCATCCACCACCTCTCTGGGCAATCTGTGCCAGGGTTTCACCACCTTCATTGTAAAAAAATTTCTTCCCTATTTCTATGCTGAATCTCCCCTCTTTTAGTTTAAAACCATTACCCCTTGTCCTATCACTACAAGACCTATTAAAATCATATGCAGGCATAAGGTGAAGCATGAGCATAATAAGTGTTTGCAAAGTCTGAATATGCAAAATTGGTACTTTATTATAGTAAACGTTTTTATTTTTTTCATATTTCAGCCTTAAAAAAAGGACGTTTTTGGATCACCCCTGACCCATATCACAAAGACGACAACATCCAGATTGGGCGAGAGGTGAAAATCTCCTGCCAGGTGGAAGCCATCCCTTCCGAAGAGCTTACGTTCAGCTGGTTTAAAAATGGACGTCCCTTGCGAAGCTCTGAACGGATGGTCATCACACAGACTGACCCCGACGTTTCCCCTGGCACCACAAACCTGGACATCATTGACTTGAAATTCACTGACTTTGGGACATACACGTGCGTGGCATCTCTGAAGGGAGGTGGCATATCGGATATCAGCATTGATGTCAACATCTCCAGCAGTACAGGTAAGGAGGCTTTCTTTGACGGCAGTTTTACTTCGAGATAGCCAAACTATGGCTTTCCTTGACTCGTGGGAAAAAGAGGAGTATGGGCAGAGCACTGCTCACCATGGGGAAGTTCAAGCAGACCCCAGATCAAGGGCTGAGTTGCTTTGATTAAAGGACAGAAACCTGAATAAGTGGCATGTGGGGCACCTTCCCAAGATGACACTGATGTCTGATTTACCCAGACAAGTCCTCTTTTACTGTCAGAAAGGTTTATGCCTCTGTAGAAGGACTTTGGCCTTTATTTAGGACTTCAAGGCATCCAGAGTCATGAAAAAATAGCTGCTGGGAAATTACAAGCAGAAACAGGAGGGTGTTACGTTATCCAAACTGCATCCATCCAGCTACTCTAATCGAACGGCAAGTGCCAAGTATGGAGGACGGAGCTCTTTTTTCTTAGGGATTACGCATTACGTGTTGGAGAATCATGCTATTCCCAATAGGCAAAAAGTTTAAGGTACCTATTGCATGTATTTCCAGGTCAGCGAATGAAACATCCCTCTCTTTGATGAGCTAGAGCCTTGGCTATTACTTTGGCTAATAATAAATATCTTGTTATTCCTCCTATGGAGTAGGAATGTGTAGCACAATAGTAGTTGCCCGCTTTTCTTTATCTCATTGCTAAAAGCTGGTTGGTAACCAATAGATTTCATAGACTCCCCCCCCGCCCAGTAGCTGACTTCAATAACTGAGGTAGTCCATGTTAATAAAATGAACTAGAAAACATTCTGAATGCATAATGTCTTTCCTGCCAAAAATTAGTTACAACTGGGAAAAAAAAAAAAAGAGTTGCTGCTGGTTGATTTCTACAGAGGATAAAAAAAAAAAAAGCATTTCTGCTTTCAGAACACTATTTTATGTTAAAATGCAGAGGCAAATAGTGTCAGTATTATATCTGCTACCCATCCTGTCTTTTATATGAAGCGTTGCTGTGCTTCTCCTCAGATTGTGCTTGTTATTCGCTGGGGTAAGGCACGCCGTGCACGCTGTTTAGGAGTAAGATGACAAAGAACACATTGGAAAACATTTTTGTAGCATGGAAAGAAAATGTTTAATAGGCATCTTCTGACCCCTTTTTACCAAGCACATCCAAGTATATGCTTTCTACTTTTTCAAAAAGATGAAATGCATACTTTTTCCTCAAAGACTATACCCCCATTTCTACTCTCCAAATTTTACACCACCAGTAATATTTTGCAAGCACATCATGTCTAAACAATCTCTCTTACAACTTAAAAGGTAAATCATTGTTTAGACTTTAATATGTGAACTTGCCTTCTGTCTTCAGTACGATACTGTATGATGGATCCTGCCTGAGTGCCGCATGGCTTCTGCCATGAGTCTGGAAGGTGCGCCTGCTGAAAGGGCTCCGTGAAGAATATTATGTACAACAGGGAGATGAGGCAGGATTAACCTCTGGTTTGGATAGGAGCTGGGAAGTAAAGCCTTGTGATGGAGATAGGGGTCACTGAAGCAAAATGGGCATCGCTCCCTACAACCACCTGACAGGAGGAGGGAGCCAGGGGAGTCGGGCTCTGCTCCCAGGGAAGGGGCGATGGGACGAAGGGCAATGGCCTCAAGTTGTGCCAGGGCAGGGTGAGGTTGGGCATGGGGAACAATTCCTTCCCCTTGGGGCTGTCAGGCACTGGAAGGGGCTGCCCAGGGAAGGGGTCGAGTCCCCAGCCCTGGGGGGATTTAACAGCCAGGCAGACACGGTGCTGAGGGCCAGGGTTTAGTGGTGGGATGGCATGGTTAGGGGAATGGTTGAGCTTGATGATCTCGGAGGTCTTTTCCAACCTAAATGATTCTATTATTCTATGATATATAAGGCCATGGGACTGGATAGGAGGTCTCTAAGGGAACTGGCCAGTGTCACTTCAAGGCCACTTTATTATCTTTGAAAAGTCGTGGTGACCTAAGGAGATCCAACAAAGACTGAAAAAACTGAAATTTTAGCCCATCTTCCAAGAAGACAAGGAGATGCAGGCCAGCCATCTTCACCTCAGTCCCTGGGAAGGCCAAGGACCATCTTTTAGAAGTTGTATCAATCCACGTGAAGGACCAGGACTGTGGTGACTGAGGTGACTGGGAACAACAAGCATGGATTATCAGAAGCGAACTGTGCCTGGCCCAACCTGGTTGCCTGCTGCGATGGAAAGGCTGTCTCTGTGGGCCAGGAGAGGGGGAGGAAAGTTGTTTGCCTTGACTGTAGTTAAGCCTTCAGCACAGACTTTTGTAGCATCTTTATAGCCAAACTGGTGAAGAATGGTTTGGAGAGGTGGACTGGGAATAAGGGGTGCTTGAAAAATGAGATGCAGAGGGTTGCACTCACTGCTAATCCAAATTTGCGTGTGGATAAGTGAACAAGCAGTCAGCACTTACAGTTCCTACCCTGAAACATCACAGAATCACAAGGGTTGGAAGGGACCTCGGGAGATCATCTAGTCCAACCCCCCTGCTGAAGCAGGTTCTCCTAGAGCATGTTACACAGGACAGCGTCCAGGCGGGGGTTGAATATCTCCAGAGAAGGAGACTCCTCAGCCCCCCTGGGCAGCCTGGGCCAGGGCTCGGGCACCCTCACAGTCAACAAGTTCTTCCTCCCATTCCACTGGAACCTCTTCTGCTTCAGTTTGTGCCCATGGCCCCTTGTCCTGGTGCTGGGCACCACTGGGAAGAGTCTGTCTCTGTCCTCGTGACCCCCACCCTTGAGATATTTGTACGTGTTGATGAGATCCCCTCTCAACCTTCTCTTCTTCAGGCTGAACAAGCCCAGCTCCCTCAGCCTTTCCTCCTAGGAGAGATGCTCCGGTCCCTTTATCATCCTATGATACATAATGCTCACGTACACAGACCTTGCGAGACAGGAGGAAAATGCTAATTTTATTTAATTCGGTCAGTTCTTACTGTATTATTTACTATTTATTGTCTATTTTTGTTATCATTCAGGGATCCTTGAATATTTTACTTCTTTTTTGCTGAATTTTGTAAGTGTAAGCCAGCAGTATTTATTTTTGCTGTTTGATAACTCTTGAAATGATTTTGCGCAATTTTGTGGACCTTTAGTTAACTTCAGAATGCCTGTGCTGGAGCAACGCAAGGAGCTGGCTTCCCTGGCAGTGGTGCAGGCTGGGGCTGCCCGGCCCGGCAGTAGCTCTGGAGGGGCCCGGTAGGCAGCGGGCGGACCTGAGCAGCACCTTCCCTTGGCAGCGATGGAGGCCAATGGATATCATGTCCAGTTTTGGACCCCCAATGCAGAAGAGGCTTCAACAAACTAGGGCGAGTCCAGCGGAGGCCATGAAGATGGTGAAGAGCAGCTGAGGGAAGGGTTTTTTTCTAGCCTGGAGAAGAGACAGCCCTGGAGCACCAACAGTGGACGTCTCCTGCCTATAAGGGATGTATCAAGAGGATGGAGCCAGGCTCTTTGCAGCAGTGTTTATCGGGAAGGTGAGAGGCAACGGGCATGAGTTGAATTGAGAAGTTCAGGCTGGATATAAGGAGCAACTTCTCCCCCATGAGAACGTCTGAGCGGGAAACAGAGTCATTGTGGGATCTCCATCCTGGGAGATTTTGAAGACCTGATAAAGTCCTGTGCAGCCTGGTCTGACCTCACATCTGACCACGCTTTGAGCTGGGGCTTGGACTAGAGACTTCCTGAGCTCCCTTCCCTCCTCAGCTATCCCCATGATGACTGTAGGGATAGACACACTAACCAGCAGATTCATGGACAAGGGAACAACCTGTCTCTTGGCCAACAGAAACACGTTCTTCAAGCTTATTAATGCACATCTTACTAACAGGTAAAGAGCGGAGAGGATTATTGTAGGGTAAGAGCCACCTTTGGCGTGATGGATGGCAGTTGCATGTAAACGTTGTTACCTGCGTGCCAGGGTGAAGTGGACGGTGACGTTGGTGCAGTCATGCATTGCCCATCTGGCAGGCAGAAACCGCTGTATTATCTGTGCTTGCTGGGGAATTATCTGGGAAATTGATGGGATTTATTGGAAACATCCATTAGATAGCCACACCTATAAGCTCGTCACAGTTTCTGCAGGCAGTGATGAATTATGTCAGCTCTTAAATTTACTGTCCCGTAACACTCAAGAAAATCAGAAAGGGAGAAGAAAAACTGGCGTTTGGGCTCAGCCTTATTTAGCATCTTAAAAGAAATTCCACCTGTTTGTATGACTTCATTACCCGATTAAGTAGAAGCTGAAATAGTTTCAGTCTGCTCTTGAAGGTCATTACTGATTCATCAAGATTCATTACTGCTGTGGTAATTATGAACATAAGGCCCAGGCACAAACACGTTTTCCAAATGCCAGGACTTGCACGGATATATTAATATCGCGCTGTGTGTCTGTTTGCTGATGTGGGGGAGAATTCTCTCTTCCTGAGGTGCCTGAGGTTCCTCCTGGGGTCACCAAGTGAGGCAGGAGGTGCCACCTCGCAAGGCAGGAGGGAGATGGTTTGGTCTCCTCTGTCCCTCCAGCAGATTGGGAAGGGACGTGTGGCAATGCGAGGGACATGCCAGCCTCTTGGCACACTCGGCATTGCCCTTGTTTAGCAGGAATATTTTTTCCCCTTGACATTTTGTACTTTCAGTGGGAAAGGCACAGATTTATGTCCTGAGTATCTTACATAAATGGACCTGAAGTAATCCCCTAGCAGCTCCCCGCCCCCCCCCGCCGCCCCATTTCCATAAAGTAGGTCACTGAATAGTGGAAATGAAAACTCAAGTGTTGAATATTTGTCCTATAAAAGCCCCGTCATCCATAAAACCAACCCTGGGCAAATGTTACTGAAAGACAGGATGACTCTTGTGTGTGCGCATGTCACGGGGAATCTGAAGGCAGAAAATGTTAAAACAGCAACAAAAAAAAAAAACAAAAACCACCGGAAAAAAAGG